TTCGGGATCAAGATGGAAAATGCTGCGGATGGAGTTGTCGAGATGCGTGGTCAACTCTCCAACCTGCGTTCTCCTGTCCGATGTTTGAAACCCACTCGTTTCCTGTCTGCAAATGGTGGCGGGTGTTTCGACCAGCTCCTCGGTGTCTTCTCCTGCCAGTGATTCGTGGCTGATAAGATACCAGGAATCGCAAAGCTGGGGGGCTGGCCGCCGCGGCAGGCAGCCTGGGGTACTGTGTACATGGGAAACATTTCTTGTGGGGTTTGACTTCGCACCCTCGTAGCGACGCACTATTGAACGTAGTTGAAGGTACTTTTCAATCATCCAAAGCTTCTCGCTGAGTCAAAGACCTCTTATAAACGATTTCAGGTTTATTTTTGTGGTGGAAGCGGTATGTAAACGTCGCCCGAGCCTTGCAATCCGCGAGCATTTTCACACGGACAAGAAATACCCCCACCCTCGCCTTGGACCCACCCCTGCCTTTCAGCTGCTCGCCCACCAGGCTACGTCCCGCCCCGCGCACCGCTCAAACCTCCACACAGTTTGACCCTAACAAATGCAACGAATGAATCCCACCTCCGTCCAGACAGCCACTTAGATTCTTTTGTCGAGGCACTGTTTGTGCGCAGGTCGAAGAAGCGATTGATTATTGCAAAGGCTAGAGCCAAGTTCGAGCGATGCGTGGTTACCCCGCGAAAATATGGAGTCGTCACCACTGATCAAGGTACTCCCTGCGTTCCCTTCTCTGCACATGCTGCCTGTTCCCAGCGACTGATAGTATTGTCGTCTATTGTAGGCCCACGATCACGCTAGAGCCGCTTCAAATGCCACCCAGGCCTCGGACACCACGACTGCTCTCGCCGAGCATGCCCTCGCTGCTGGCGAGTTTGCAAACGCCGCGAAAACCACGGGCAGCGCCGAGGCCCTGCGAACCTTGCGCCTGCTTGAGCAGCATCACCAAAGGTTGTCAGAGCTTTTGAAGCTGCCTGTCGATCCGCCAAGCCAGCAGTCCACTACAGACAGCGAGATCCCCGAGGAAGATGAGAAAGATGTTGCGGGCGAACAGGAGGGGCAATCGAAATCCACCAAGACACCTACGAAGGAGTCTAGCACAACGGCAGCTACTGCGCAGGTGAAGCCTGTCCCGACTCTTCCCCAGCAACGCAGATATCCCGGTCGTGAACTCTCGTCGTCGATTGCCAGCAACCTTGCTTCTGCGAGGGGTATCAAGTCCAAATATCGTGGACAACCCCTGGCTCCCAGCGTTTCGAACGACCAGGCACCGGGGAGCCTCGAGGCCCGTCCTCGCCGGGACGGTTCACTGAAGACAAAAGCCTCCGATGGGTCAGATGGGCGGAAACCCAGCTGGATTCCCCCAACAGAAAGCGGCATCAAGGAGGATGTGCCATCCGGCGAGCCTTCTCCAACCACGACCCCGGGTGATGAGGGCTTCTCTCGGTTCTACAGCACTTTTGGAAGCCTCATCAACAAACTTTCCGCTCCTCTGGCCTTTGCCGGTCTTCCCTTGATAGCTGAGGAGTCGTCCACTTCTGACACTGCACCCGCGCCTCCCCCAGAGCCAACCCCGCAGAAGAAACACCGGCATCAGAAGTCCTCCGGGCCGGGAACGGAGCCGGATCTATCCAAATTATACTCGCGGGCTGCTCTTATGGCGGTACGAGGCAACCATGGCGGCGATTCATTCTACGTAGTGCCCACCAGCGGCCACACAGCCTCCTACGCAAGCATCCTCAACCACGAGAGCAAAGAGAAGCGACGATTGGCCGCCTCCAGGGATGACGCCGACGGAGATGAGCAAGACGACGATGACTTTGTCGACGCCCGTGAATCCCAACCCATGCTTCCTGGTCTGCGGAAACGCGGAGCCGGCAAGACCAAATCCGAGCGTGACCTCCAAAACATGGTAGAGGAACTGCACACCGAGAACGCAAGCCTCAAAGAAATGCTCGACAAGCTCAGCAAGCGCCTACACGCCTTCGAGCTGAATTCCCAGAGCGCACATCTAGCGCTTGCGCAGAGCGTCCGTCTGCAGAGACCGGGGTCACCGATGTCTTCTAGTGTAGGGCCGGTGGACGAGGCGCTGAAGCGGAGAAACCGAGAGTTGGAGGATCAGGTCGCGTTCCTTTCACAGAAGGTGAAGGACTTGCAGCAGACGGTGGACAAGTATCGGGAGAGGTGGGAGAAGCTGAAGGCGGGGGCGAAAGCGAGACGGGAGGCGCAGGATATGGCGGAGCCAGGGAAATCCACTCGTTAGGCTGGTTGTACTGTCTAGTCAGTGGTATCAATGGGACTTTTTTGATCAAATCGGCGCGTTTGTGATGGTGGTCGTCGGCAGAGGAGTCGAGCGGAAGGCATGATACCGCGCACAGTCATAACGCCTTTTCGACGGCTGAGCGAATACATACGACCATAGGTACTGGAAAGCTCGGGATCCCGTCCGCTCTCCCATCGATAAACCAGTAACCGCCAGATCAGTAGTTGGGTCGGTGACGACCAGCGAATCCCTGGTGTTGTATGTTTTTCTCCATTTTTGCCGCATCTCCACTTGCTGACCTAGCGTTGGCGTTCGTCGGATGTCCAGTATTGTAGCACTGTTCTCTGAGGATGTCAACACCTTGACCAGCGCGGGGGGCATTCGAGGCACGGAGACTGGTTTTCGCCCGGGCTCGCAGGAAGGGCATCAGCCCCGCGGAAGCCACGTCTCTCAAAATGATAGCATCGTGTTTTCTGATGTCCAAATTTGTTCCAAGCCAAAAGATGTTACAATACGAGAGACATCAATCATATCCCTATCCCGGGTTGCGCCCCCGAAAGAACCGTGTCATTATCATCATAGCCCCCTTTCCTCATACACAAAAAATCTCCTCCGGTGTTGTTCAATCTTATCTGGGTATAACCTCCTCCCTTCCCTGTTTCCCCAACTCCGCAATCCAGGGGGTAGCCATGGTGGCTCATGTCGACCCGTTCGATGATGACCTTGCCAACCTGGCCATGAAAAACTCAACTTCCCGCTTCATGAGGTCTGAATATCCCCCTGTCCCAGTTGTGGTCGAGTTCGCAGTGTCTCTCTCCTTCGTTTCCCCGAAGAGCGAAGACGAAGTGGATTGGGCGCTGTATGAACGGGTATGTTGAGTTGTCGAGGTGGAGGTTGATGTCCGCGACAGGGCGGTGTCTGAGGAGGTGGGGGAAGACATTTTGGGTGCTTTTCTCTCTTCTGTTTGTTGTTCTTATCTTCTGTTTTTGGTTGCTTAGTTCCAGTCAGGTATGTTTGGTCATGAAGGGACGACTGGGCTTACACGATGTAGGCACTTAACATCTAACACACAACCTTCTCCAGAAACATTGGAATCCAGAGCAATTCTGCCTGCGAAGACAAATCCACTTGGACTTATACGGCTTCCCTCCCAACATGGACCCCCATCCCAACTGATGGCATTGACACCACACAACTAAGCCATGCAGAACCCGCGTGGGAGACGCGCAACGCCATTGGTCACCGCCACGAACCCCATGGGGAGTTCACCTCTCCCCCGTCATTCCAGCCTCGTGACCATACTTCGGTGATCAGATGCGTCTCAAGTTCAAGGCACGTGTGGCTTTGGGTTTGTTCTTGCGTCTCTCTTCTCTGTTCCGATGCAATGAGGTTGGGATGGGCGCGGCTCAGGGTTAGGGTTTGCCCATGAGAAGAGGGTTCGCGATGCCGGCATCAACTACGCACATCCAACCAATGGTTTGGTCTGACGGCTGATGCTCAGTATCCAATGCTTGTTGGGGATGGGCTTGTTGTTACTCAACCTATGACAGGATTCGAACTTGTGCGGGGCCTTCCACGAGGTGGAAGGGGTTAGTTTGACACGCCTCCGAAAATTCAGAGGTGTTGACGGGTTCCCCAGAGGCGTCCAGCGATTCTCTGAAGGCATTTGGTGGCTTTCTGGAGGCTTTCGGTGGTTCTCTGAAGGCCTCTTGAGTAGCAAATTGTCAACCCGATTCTTTCCACCACATAGGAACGCACAAGGTGCCTGCGGACGGCGAAGAATTTATGATGTACCTCGACTGATAGATGATGAAATTCATCTCCAAAAACGGTGGTTCAAGTTGCCATAGGACTGAGAGAGAAGTGATAGGGCGCCTCATGATGAGCTGCCACTTGCGAGAATGAAGGTTGAAGGGAAGAGGACATGAAATTCTTGGGGAAATTTCCCGCCCTGGGACTTGACGGCAGGCGCGTCCCACGCGTCGAGGGCCGGGTTTTCATGGCAGGGCAGCTCCTTCCCAGAGAACGATGAAGTTGCACATCGATGGCGCACCCGCCAAACTGGTGATTGGTCATTGGCTCCCACTACCCCACACGACGACAACCTCACCTCGAACTTATCTCCAAAAAGTCAGGGAGAAAATAAGCCCAGGTCTAGAAATCATGTAGGAGCAATGTGCTATATGTAGGATCTCCAGCTCCATGGAGCTGGCTCTTTGAAATGGAAATCAGGGAGATGTGCCCATGCGAACTGCGCATACCAGGGTTAGGGTCCGCCAATGAGAAAAAAGAAACTGGATACCAGCATCAACTCCGCATCCCCAACCAAATCTCTATGTTTGCTTCGACCCTTTGGTCCCTGGGTATTGAAAGCCCAATGAGTGGAAGGAAATGGATTTGCGTATTTGGCCAAGGCGTTCGTTTTTTTGGTGTCCTGCAAACCCCTGAAATCGAGTTTGTCTGACTGAGGACAAGGATTCAGGGGCTCGGATTTTTTGGCTCCGGGATTGCCCAGAAACATGCCTCCCCCGCTAAACTGGCCCCGCAGAGTTCAAAAATGCCAACCACGGGTCGCACCAACGGCTGCCACAGACCTCCGCAGACCTCCGCACACACCCACCCAAGCGGCTCCCCAGCCACCCCCAATCATTCAGAGCCGTCTCCAACCGATCCCAACCTTGTCTGATGACTCCAGAGGTCAAAAAGAAACGTTTTGCAAAAGGATTGACACCAGTGGGGTTCGAACCCACGCCTCTTTCGAGAGTAGAGATGAAAGAACCCGAGATTAACTCTCTTTTCTTAAATCTACCGCATTAACCGCTCTGCCATGGTGCCCGTTTAATGACTAATATTCACTGGAATCGAAAATTTGAGTCAGAAAGGTGGTGTTGGCATCGCAGGGCGACTTTGTTTGGTGGAGTTGAGAAAAAGTCAGGGGTTTTGGATACCACACCAACACCATCGCTCCACGACACGGAAGGCACGGCTCAATTGAATCAAATTGCTCTCCTCTATCATATGCAACTGGTTTTGAAAGCCTATCTATTTTGCTTGATTTTAAAACTCGAAAGGGGTCGATGCATCGCCTCCCCGGCTCAGGAGTTCGCGATGACTTCCTTCCTCCGGAGCCTCGCGATCGCGGGAAAGAGCACCCGTAACCTTCTTTGAAGTCTACAGAGAGCTGCAGATGACAATAGAAGCAGATTGCCGGTCTGTCGGGAAACTTTGTCTTCTTTCCATGTCCGGCTGCCCCGTGTAAGTGAGCCCCTGACAGCCTCGCCCTTCCAACATCGAACCGCGCTGCACCAGAGCACAGAGCGCGACCATCTTGAAAAAGGTGTTAGAATGGGTAATTCATTGCCTGATCGACCTGTTTTGCAACTGGGCCGTAACTCCGTCAAAGTCCAATGGTCGAAAGAAAATCTCGAAAATCTCCATCAAGGCACCGTGGACAAGCCAACACCCAAATCACAAAAGGGCTTATTCACATTGTTCCAGGCCTCTCATTCATGTATCAAGGCCTTTCCAAAATGAATCCAGGGCTAGAGTCTCAAAACAGCGGCTTTTTCGCTCAACAGGTGATGGCTGACTGGACAGGACGAACCTGGCTTCTACGCAAGCTGGATAGACCCTTTTCTATCGTCGTCCATTTTGTCCCTTGGTGTTTGTGCCTCAGGGGAGGTGCCGAAGGCACCCCCGCGGCCCAAGAGAGGCACGACATGCACTGCAACGTCAACAAGAAATCCCACAGACGCCTTGAGATCCTGTTTTGCTGGAGGAAGCGAGATCTGGGGCCATAAGAAGGAATGAGATAAATATCAGGGGATAGGCATGAGTCCGAAGGTCTTCAGATTGTCAATGCGGTGGGCACCGGGCAGGAAGGCGTGCAGGCTATGGATGGAATTTGAGAGAGAGTCATTGCTTGGCGATACGGTGATGGTGTGTTGGTCATAGTTGCAGTACAGTCAAGCACCTTCATCCTTGGTAGATAGACCACGGGGTTTCTGCCCTCCGGGCAGAAACTCCATGGTGTTATGTTGGCCATCTGCTATGCTGGTTTGCCTCGATTGCGTTCCCTTTTTGCAACTCCTTTCGATTCTGTTTGTGTCCACTTGCATCTGCTTTGCAACTGATGACCTCATCTGCGTAGAAGCCAGGTTCGTCCTGTCCAGTCAGCCATCACCTGTTGAGCGAAAAAGCCGCTGTTTTGAGACTCTAGCCCTGGATTCATTTTGGAAAGGCCTTGATACATGAATGAGAGGCCTGGAACAATGTGAATAAGCGTTCTGTCATGCAGCCGATGCCCCCCTGCATGCAGCGGAGGCATATTGTAATGCAATTGCGGCCTCTTTGAGCTCGTTTCAGGCCTGCCATGATGTTTTCGAGCGCTTTTGAGATGCGAATATGGCCAGTATTCGTTGGAAAAACACGTCTGGGGATGTGGTTGAAGTCTTTGCAGGAAGTAAACAAGCCCCTTTTTGGTCCGACCCACGTCAGGTACGTACCACACAAGGCATTTCCGATCTGCTGAGGGGCATGATTCCAGCTTCTCAGGACCGTTGGGGACCTCGAGCCAGATGAGCAAGACACCATCGGAAGAGGCAGCAGTCAACTAACTATCAAGGGAGTCAGCCCGTCTTGATACTCGGAGATACATAAATAGATTCAATGAATTGCAAGAAAACTTTTTTTTTTGCTCCAGTCGGAGGACGAGTGTGTGTTGGAACTTTGCAAGTTGACTGCGTCGTTCTTTCCTTCCTTGAGAGTTGCAAGGCAAGAGCTACTTGGTCAACGTGTCAGTCACGCGCCTTCCCAGACGCGTGTGAAAATATAGCTGGACTCGCTGGCCACCGCTCGCTCTTCCTCTTTTCTTCTTCTTCTCCAGGCGATCAGTCTCACAAAGTACGAAACACCCTCACTCAGGCTTTCCTGTTGGTTTGATCATTTGCTGACAATGAAGAGCAGAAGCTATTCTCAAAAGCTTTTTTTATTATTTGTAAACCGATTCCCTTCCGTAAGTGCCACAGCCCAGCAATTCTTCGGCCGGCTTCTTTCCACCTACCAGCCCAAGGCCCTCACCCCACTGCTTCCTTCCATCTGGCTGACTTTGTCTAGTTAAAAAAACATACAATGGCCGAGCCTTCGGGCAACAACTCCGGGGCCAAACCCCCCGCCGCCAATGCCGATCCCGCCGCGCCCACCTCGCCGGCCCCGACAACTGGCCCCGCCCCCGCCCCATCCCGCAGTAAGTTGAACAAGTTTTTCATGTTATGTCAGTCAGCAAGGCGACTGACGCACAAATAGACACCGTTACCATAAACCAGGGTGGCACCGTAAGTGGCCCATCCCTCCCATCTTCTAACCAACAACTGAGAGCTAACGGTGAATTGTAGATTTATACCGTCGACAATGTGTCGAACCGTGCCGTTCGGGGTTATGTACGGAATGCACTGCGCCAGAGAGCGTGGGCCCCACCCCCCGCGGCCAGCACCAGCGTATGTTTGTTCTCTTTCTTGTTCAATGACTTGAGATTGACCGCTGCTTGTTTTAGACCAAGGATGCAAATGCATCCAACAAGTTCGGCGGCCCCGGCACCACCACCCCCTCGCCCTGTGGTTCGGTTAAGTTGAACAGGCCATTTATCCCATGTCAAGCAACTGACGCATAACTAGCCACCGTAGCCATAGGAGCCGGCGAAGTAAGTATTCTTTTCATTCCATATCATGACAAATGACTGAAAGGCTAACATGTAATCGCAGATGAGAATCGAAAACGTTTCGCGCCGTGCCCTTCGGGGCATATTTGCTCAGGCACTGCGCAGCACCTCTGGTGCTGGCCCTGTCCGCGCCGCCCCTGGCCGCCAGCAAGCCCCCTCTGTATGTCTCCTTTTCATGACATATCATGTGTGTATAGAGGCTAACCATTATCTGAACAGAGCCAAGGAACGTCTAAGTGGGCCGAGGAACGCCGCCGCAAGAAGGCGGAGAAGGAGAAGAAGAAGGAGAAGGAGAACGGAGACCTCCCGCCCGGTGTGCCCCGCCCTGCTCCCGGCGACGACGATGACGACGACGAGTTGATCTTGTGAAAATGACGTTTTTTTTACCTTTTGTCTTTTTGGCCATCTGCTTTTTTTTTCCAAAATAATAATAACAACAAGCGGCACTGCCGCGGCATGATTTCTGCCAACCTCGCCCTCCCTGCCTCTATCATTACATGCACACCTTTTCTCTGTGAGTTCGGGCGTGAATTCCATTGCGGAAGGCCTTGGTTTCGTTGTGGGAGGTGTTGGTTTCATTGCAAAAGGCCTTGGTTAAACTGTACGTGACGTTGACTGCATCGTAAAACGCCTGGGCCATATGTATAAGGCCTTGGCTGAATCGCATATGGCGTCGATTGGAAGAGCTCGACTCCTTGTTGCCGACGTCCAAATCACCGTCGATCCAACCGTCCTCAAAATTAGCAGGGCAAAGGCGAGGCGCTGGGCCGAGGCAAGGATGACGACTGGATGAACAGTGCCACAGCTCCTATCGATCTGACTGACGCTCCAGCCTAGCCCTTTACTCCTGGATACCAAGAAGAAGTCACCACGCAGTGGAAGGAGCCGGTTTGACGGTTTGCTAGAGGCCTTGAGAGGGCCATGAACGACCTTTAGCAAACCGCCGAAGACCCTCAGAGAGCCATTGAACATCTTGAGAGAGTTATTAAACACCGTCAGAGAACAACCAAACACCTTCAAATCGTTTGTGAACACCTTCAGAGAACTATTGAAGGCCTTCGGGGAGCCACTGAACACCCCCCTGCGTCTTGGGATGGGTGTCAAACTGATTCCTTCCACCGCGTGGTCACCTCTAGCAAGAGTCCTGTTCGCCACGCCTGTCAATTCATTTTCACGCTCGTCACTCATTCTGCGGAGTCCCATAGGCCATATTCCTTGGCGGTCTCCCCGTCAACCTTGATCGTGACCTCACACACATGGTGGCGACGCAGGAATATTCCTGTGTCATGTGGTTGACCTGTATATTCATGATCGGAAGAACTCCGTTCTTTTAAAATGTCAACGTGTGTGGGGGTGATCCTCAAGTCGTCCCACTGTCGTCCAGCGGGTTCCTGGCATTCCTGGACACCCCTGAATGCGAGAGCGCTGTCAAACTGTGGATTGAGTGAAATTGATGCAGGCAGCTGCAATTCGCGACCCATCTAGGCGATCGAAAAATGGCTTGACGAGAATGTGTAGGCTATTGAGGGGTTCGGTGATATTGACGGATAACATATTGTTGATGGTGATTCCCTCCTAGCTGACGTTGATGTTGAAAGACCGCGATGACCGACGTCAACAAAAATGTGGACCTGCGCTCTCAAAAAAGGGGTGAACTCACGCCCCACAGCTGACACAAAGACAGGGTTAGGGTTGAAATTAGGCGACATCCCCAGATTATGTAAATTGGCGGCCTTGTCCCGCCTATCGATTGCACTCTGGCGATAAGCCGAGCTGCGCGCCAGAGGACATTTGTCTGGTTCAACGTTCCGGCTCACAGCTTTGGAGCGCCACGCTGCCTGTCACCCCTCGCTTTTCGGCGCACCACGACTTCCTGGACACCACCTCCTCGCAGCGCCCTCATACCGCTCACACGGCCGCTGCAGGATGAGCCGAGATGACCAGCTCGTAGTGGCAAACATGGACTCGGCGCTCTCTTCAGCGCCCGGCACGCCGCTCGTGCTCCCGCGACGCAGCAGCCCGGGCCTCTCCGTCTCCGTTTCGTCGTCGCGCATGCAGTACCGGAGCCGCCCCGTTTCCGTCGCCGTCGACCCCGTGTCCCTCGTCATCTCCGAGTCCA